AGACAACAAAGATCAGAGCAGAAATAAATGAAATAGAGAATAGAAAGACAATAGCAAAGACCAGTGAAACTAAGAGCTGGTTTTTTGAAAAGACAAACAAAATTGACAGACCTTTAGCTAGACTAACTAAGAAAAAAAAGAGAGGAGACTCACATAAATAAAATCAGAAGTAAAAGAGATGACAATTGATAACACAAAAATACTAAGAATCATGAGAAACTACTATGAACAATTATATGCCAACAAATTGGACAGCCTAGAAGAAATGGATAAATTCCTAGAAACATAAAACCTACCAAGACTGAATCATAAAGAAATAGAGGGGCCGGCCTGGTGGCACAGCAGTTAAGTTCGCACATTCCACTTCTTGGCGGCCCGGGGTTCACCGGTTTGGATCCCGGGTGTGGACATGGCACCACTTGGCAAAAGCCATGCTATGGTAGGCCTCCCACTTATAAAGTAGAGGAAGATGGGCATGGATGTTAGCTCAGGGCCAGTGTTCCTCAACAAAAAGAGGATTGGCAGTAGTCAGCTCAGGGCTAATCTTCCTCAAAAAAAAAAAAAAGAAAGAAATAGAAAATCTGAACAGATCAATTACTAATAAGGAGATTGAATTAGTAATCAAAAACTTCCCAGCAAAGGAAAGTCCAAGAGTGGATGGCATCACTGGTGAATTCACCAAACATTTAAAGGAATTGATACCAGTCCTTCTCACACTCTTTCAAAAATACAAAAGGAGGAACACTTCCACACTTATTTTATGATGTTAGCATTACCTTGATACCAAAGCCAGACAAGGACACTACAATAAAAGAAAATCATAGGCCCATATTCCTGATGAACATATATGCAGAAATCCTCAACAAAATATTAACAAAGCAAAGTCAACAGTACATTAAAAAGATCATACACCGTGATCAAGTGGGACTTATATCTGAGATGCAAGGATGGTTCAATCAGGCAATGTGATACACCACAAAATGTTAACAAAATTAAGGATAAAAATCATATGATCATTTCAGTAGATGCAGAAAAAGCTTATTAATAAAATTCAACATCCTTTTGTGATAAAAACTCTGAACAAATTTGGTATGCAAAGAATGTACCTCAGCATGATAAAGGCTATATATGATATGCCCACAGCTAACGCATACTCAATGGTGAAAAGCTGGAAACTTTTCCTCTAAGACCAAGAACAAGACAAGAATGCCAAGTCTCACCACTTACCCAACATACTACTGGAAGTTCTAGCTACAGCAGTAAGACAAGAAAAAGAGATAAAAGGTATCCAATAGGAAAGGAAGAAATAAAACTGCCCTATTTTCAGGTGATGTAATATTATATAGAGAAAATCCTAAAGACTCCACCAAAAAACTGTTAGAACTAATAAATGAATTCAGTAAAGTCACAGATAGAAAATCAATATACAAAACTTAGTTTTGTTTCTATACACTAACAATGAACAATCAGAGAAATTAAGAAAACAATTCTATTTACAGTAGCATCGAAAAGAACAAAATATTTAGGAATAAATTTAACCAAGGAGGTGAGAGATCTGTACACTGAAAACTATAAAACATTGCTGAAAGAAATTGAAAAAGACACAAATAAATGGAAAGATACTCTGTGTTCACCGATTAGAATTATTATTAATGTTAAAATGTCAGTGCTACCCAAAGTGATCTACAGCTTCATTGCAATCGCTATCAAAATTTCAATGACATTTTTCACAGAAATAGAAAAAACAACCCTAAAATTTGTGTGGAACCACAAAAGACCCTGAATAACCAAATCAATCTTGAGAATGAACAGAGCTGGAGGCATAGCACTTCCTGATTTCCAACTATTTTACAAAGTTATTAGAAAAGTATGGTACTGGCATAAAAACAGATACATAGATCATTGGAACAAAATATAAACCTAGAAATAAACCCATGTATATATGGTCAATTAATTTTCAACAGAGGAGCTAAGAATATAAAATAAGGAAAGGATAGTCTCTTCAATAATTGGTGTTGGGAAGACTGGATATCCACATACAAAAGAATGAAATTGGACCCCTATCTTACACTATGCACAAAAATAAACTCAGAATAGATTAAGACTTAAACATATGACCTGAAACCATAAAATTCTAGAAGAAAACAGAGAGTAAGGTCCTAGACATTGGTCTTGGCAATGATTTTTTTGGATTTGACACCAAAAGCAAAGGCAACAAAAGCAAAAGTAAACAAGTGGGACTACATGAAACAAGGAAGCTGCACGGTAAAGGAAACCATCAACAAAATGAAAAGGCAACCTATGGAATAGAAGAGAATATTTTTGCAAACCACATATCGTGATGAGGGGTTAATATCTAAAATGTGCAAAGAACTCATACAACTCAGTAGCAAATAACCAAATAACACAATTAGAAAATGGGTAAAGGACCTGAATAGACATTTTTCCAAAGAAGACATTCAAATGGCAAACAGATACATGAAAAAGTACTCAACATCCGTAATCATCAGAGAAATGCAAATTAAAACCACAATGAGATATTACCTCACACCTGTTAGAATGGCTATCAAAAAGAAAAGACATAACAAATGCTGGGAAGGATGTGGGGAAACAGGAACCCTTGTATACTATTGGTGGGAATGTAAGCTGGTACAACCACTATAGAAAACAGTATGGAGATTCCTCAAGAAATTAAAAACAGAACTACCATAATTATTCAGCAGTATCATGTCTGGGTATATACCCAAAGGAAATGAAATCATTATCTTGAAGCGATACCTGTACTCCCATGTTCATGTTCATTGCAGCATTATTCACAATAGCCAAGGTATGGAAACAGCCTACGTGTCTGTCAACAGATGAATGGATAAAGTAAATGTGTATATGTATGTGTATATATATATATACACACATACACACACACATACACACAAGCACACACCAATATTATTCAACCTTAGAAGAGAAAGAAATCCTGGGGCCGGCCCCTTGGCTGAGTGGTTGGGTTCGCGCACTCCACTATGGCGGCCCAGGGTTTCGCTGATTCGGATCCTGGGCGTGGACATGGCACAGCTCATCAGGCCACATTGAGGCAGCATCCCACGTACCACAACTAGAAGGACCCACAACTAAAATATAGAACTATGTACTGGGGGGATTTGGGAAGAAAAAACAGGAAAAAAAAGAAGATTGGTGACAGTTGTTAGCTCAGGTGCCAATCTTTAAAAAAAAAAAAAAAAAGTCCCACATTAATAGATAAGAGAGATCAATGGCCTATGTTTGTGATAAAGGATTTATGGATGGCTATACCTCTAAACTCGTAAATTAGTCCAATAAATATCTAATGCCTGGTATATACTGGGCCCTAATATGAGCATTGAAATGGGGCCTGTGTCCTTGAGAGCTGAGAGTACAATGAGGAGGTTAGATGAAACTCATTCATTTTGATAGACTATGTTCAGTGTTGATATCAGTTTAGTATGATGGCTAAGAACCCAGACTCTGGATTGCGTCAACTTGGTTTGGAGTCCTGGCTCTCCCACGTTCTGTCTGGGTAAAATAACCTTGCTAGTTCTTGATTTCCTTACTTATAATATGTACATTATAAGGCTGTTGTGAGGATTGGACAATACACATAAAGCTCTTAGCATAAATGTCTGGCACAGAGTAAGTACTTAATGAATGTTTGCTGCTGTGATGGTGGTAAAAGTGGAGGTAGGGGTACTGATCAATGTAGGCAAAGGATATTGCCATACAGAGAGGGGCACTTACACTAGAGGCAAATACTTCTGAATTGAATCGTAAAGAATGACTAAGAATTAGCTAGAAAAAGGAAGGAAGGGAAAGCATTCAGGACAAATGGAAGAGTATAAACAAAGGTATAGAAGCATGAAAGATTGTGTGTAAGTGTATGTAGTACAGCAATTTGGTATTAATAGAACTTAAAGTAGCAATTGGAAAGTTTGAGGTAGCTGATGAGGCTGGAGAAGTAGGCAAGGGCCAGGTCGTGGAAGGCCTTAGCTTTTTTCTAAGCAAAAGGGAGATGTTGAAGAGCTTAAGAGAGGAGAATGGCATGGTCGGATTTGCATTTCTAGCTAGCTCACTCTGCAGACTGAAGGATGCTTTGAAATGGAAGATATAGCTGGATGACGCTTTTTAATAGTTCAGTTGAGAGATAAAGACCAGAATCAGGACCATAATAATTGAGAATGGAATGTCATTCTTGTCCTTATTTTCTGTTTAATAAACTCCTGTTCAATCTGGAGCTTCAGATGGAGAAGCAGGCTGGCCTCGGGTTGTAGAGTGTGGAAGAGTGGAAGTCTTGTATGTGAGGACTCTAAGAAGCCCTATCCAAGACTGGCTATAGTTTCTCTGGCTCAGGCTACTAGAACTGAGTGGTTGCTTCTGTTCATCTAGGCTAGATATAATTTCTTACGATCAGCTAAGTCAAATATATCCACCTGATAGAAAACTCACATTTTTTTAATGCATCGAGGTGGAAGGGGAATGGATAGAGGGGAAAAGGTTACCAAGAAGTATATCTAAGAAAAAGACATTTGAGTCTAACCTACATTTCCTAAAATCTTTGTTTTCTCATCTATTTTTCCCTCCTTTTTTATGAATGTTTAAAAAAGTTAGTCATGATTTTCTTCTTAAATAAAGCTAAAAGGTAAAAACAATAAAGAATTCATATTCACTACTATTTTATTTTCTTCTGTGCCATTTCATGGACTACTGTGAGAAATAGACCTCTAATTGTTAAATTTGCCACAGTGCAAATCCTGTGGAAAGGAGCTGCATCCATTTTGTACACTCTGTGTTTGAAAGCACAGCTAATTAAAGATAAATAAAGAGTAAATTAATGTTTTTGCATGTTATAAAGGACAGTGCTATTTCTGTTTGTGTGTGTGTGTATAAACAGCTTTTGAGATATAATTCACATGCCATACAATTCACCCATTTAAAGTGTACAGTTTAATGGTTGTTTGTTTTTTTAACAGGGAAAAAAAGATGTGACCCAGATATTTAACAACATCCTGAGAAGACAAATAGGCACTCGGAGTCCTACCGTAGAGTACATTAGTGCTCATCCTCATATCCTCTTTATGCTCCTCAAAGGGTAGGTGCATGGTTTCCTTTAAAGTAGGTTAGAGTTTAGAATAATTGTTAAAAGTATATAGCGTTAGCCTCATTTGAGATCTGATGGGTTCTCTTTTGTAATCACAGTAAAGGTATTTGCCGTGCTTGAGGTCAACCTTCCAATCCATGTCTCCTTGATTACTTCAGCTGCAGCAAAATCCTTTCTTTGCATCATGTTTCTAAATAAAGTTCCTTCCATTTACTGCCTCTCTTTCCTCTGCCTTCCTCTTATTTCTGTCTCTTCCTATTTTATTGCTTGTGTTTCCCAATCTGCCCTGTTCCTAGCTGGCCAGTTACCCTTTTCCTGTTTGCATGAGGCAGAATCCCTTCATTAAACAAACACAAACACACACACACACACAGTTCTTCCAATGGCTAGCGTCTGCCAAGATGATATACTTCCACGTGGGGATAGAGTAAATAATACTGTGTGTATGTAGGACCATAGGACAGCCAAAAAACTCAAGTCTAGCCAGAGAATAGAATCCCTGGTTATTACTTTTTATGGATGCTCATTTATAAATGTTTCTTGGAGATTTTGAGGCCTCTTTAACTCCTGAAGGCCGGAGATCTGGATGTAGTAAGACTTGGGGGGAGAGCAGACTGTCTTCTTCCTCCCCTTCCCTGTCCTTCTACTCTACCGTCTCAAACCTAGCGTGATGTTCTGTACCTAGTCCATCTCATCTGCGTTCAGTTTCCAAACACTCTCATACATTTTTCGACGTTCAATTGTATGAAAGTGATACATACCACGTAGTTTAAAAATCAGATCTATCAACGAACAGCAGCTCTTTGCTTCTTCCTTCTCTATTCCTCAGTCCCGTTACCCAAAGACAACAAGTTTCATCTTTTTTATTTGTTCATCTGATGTTTACCTGTATATTACAAATAATGGGCTTATACTAATCTTTTTTTTTTTTTAAGATTTTATTTTTTTTCCTTTTTCTCCCCAAAGCCCCCCAAGTACATAGTTGTATATTCTTTGTTGTGGGTCCTTCTAGTTGTGGCATGTGGGATGCTGCCTCAGCGTAGTCTGATGAGCAGTGCCATGTCTGCGCCCAGGATTCGAACCAACAAAATACTGGGCCACCTGCAGCGGAGCGCGTGAACTTAACCACTCAGCCACAGGGCCAGCCCCATATATTAATCTTTTGATTTACCAATTTTAAAAACTATCTTTTGACTTTCTCATAGACTAGATGATAATTTAGTTTTTTCACCGCTATCGTTACTCCACATTTCTTCCTCTTATCCTCCCAATATAATTTATCGTAATTTTTTACTTTATAAAAAAATCACAATAAAATTATTAAGGTTATGTAATTGTTATTCACTGTTGACCAAAGTAGTGTACTATGATTATTTTGTTTTTTAGCACAAAATATTGTTTTTACTGGAGAATTGTATCTTTCAATTCTGCAAACGGAAATATACTTGTATCATGAATTTTTTAGGGTAGGCTAAACTTTTAACAAACCTTAAACTTGGTAACAAATAGACCCCAGAAAGGAGTGGGTCCACCACAAGATAAGTTTATTTCTCGTGTAACAGTGCAGAGCAGATATTCTAGGTCAGCTGAGGTTCCTTCAACACGTGGTTCCTAAGATCACTTTGTTGCCACTTCGGCCGACAGGAAGGCAGAATTACATGGGAGAATTTATGAGCCAGGCCTGGAAATGGCTCACGTCACTCCCGCTCATGTTCCGTTTGAGAGCACTTAGTCACTTGGCGCCTTAATTCCTAAGGGAACCTGAGAAATGTAGTCTAGTGCTCAGGAAGAAGAGAGTGGGTTTTGGTGGACAACTAACATTCTCTGTCACATATCGTTTCTTTGAAAATTTCTTCTCTTCCATTTTTTTGTTCTCACTTTCTAGATCTCAGATTAGAGTTAAATCTCTGGGATTGATTTCTTATCTCTTCTATTTTCTATTTCTTTGTCTTTTTGTTTTATTTGTCAGAAGATGTTCTTAATTTTATCTCCTATTCAAGATCAACTCTATTGAATTTTCATTTCAGCTACCCTATTTTTAATTTATAAGAACTCTTTTTTGTTCTCTGTTTAATCCTTTTTCTGGTCTCTTACACTTTTTGGCTCTGTGACCTTTGGCAAGTCACTGCACCTTTCCAAGCCTCCGTTTCCTTATCTGCAAAATAAGAATACAATTTGTAATATTATCTTCACACTAAAATAATATAATTATATGCCTTGACTATGCATAGTCACACAGACCTGTATTTTCAGTCAGGGTTCTGCTACTTAATTGCTATAAGACCTTAGGCAAGTTACTAACTTCCTTAAGTCTTGGTTTCCTCAATGCAATATGGAGATAATAACAATAATTATTTCAGTAGGTTGTTGTGATTCTTCAGTGAAATAATGCTTGCAAAGCACAGACCTAGCACATGATAATCAGTAATTATTACTCTAAGAAATTATTGTCTCTTTCCCTCTTAAGAGCTACAGCTCACATTGAAATATATGTACAATTTTAAACAAATATAATTAAAGTCATATATAAGTGTCAGAATAATGATGTAAAGGAAAGCGCACATTTCCAGCTCAGGTGGATCTACAAGATTTAATGGGCCCACTGGGATATCATCTGCACAGCTCTTCATTGGTGGATAAGGCCAAAATGATCAATTTGGACCCACTTCTGGAGATTCTAAAATGTTAAGCTAAGCATTTGACATAGCCTGTGGGAAATGGGGAGCCACTGAAGAGTTTTAGGAGAGGAAGCATATCAGATTTGTGTTTCAGGAAGTGAAGATAAATCAATAGTCATTTAAAGTTTAGTTTGTAAATAAATGATCCCTTGAGAATGCTGAAATGTATTGTCCTAAAAATATACTGGAGATCATGTCAGCTGATGCAGAAGAGTAGTGGTGTGGGTGATCTAGAACAGTATCTTCCACTGCGGGGTCACTGTGTGAAGGGACGCATGCGGCTCTGTGAGCTTCATTCTTGGAGTGGGGATTGGTAGTCTGGAGGACCTCCTGTAGCTGCTGTCACTGAATAGCAGTTGGTAATGACAACTGCCTTGTGTTTATTTTGTGCAAAGAGCCTTACCAGATATAAGTGGTTCTGCTAAAGACATGGATTTGATATCTTCTTCCCAAGGAAATTATAAACATATGACAATTAGTACTGCTAAGTTTTCAGTTTAATGAAGAGGAAAGGCAATCCAATAAATTACAAAGTATGGCTTCAGGGTAATTTAAAATTAAATTCATTCCTTTTATATATGGGAGAATGTATATACATTTTATACACTTATACATTATATATGCTTTGTGGAAGATATTAACAGCATAATTGGATATTTATTTTTAAAATTAAGTTGGTAAAGAATGACAGCTTACATTGAGAAAAACTTTATTTTCCCTTTCTAGGATAGTGAGACAAGATAAACAACTAATTCTAATTGTTATTCATTAATAATTTAACTGCTGGAACATATTTGCAGATCTGTAGCAAGCCTTTTTCATTTGTGTTGTGCACAGGATTCATTAATGTATGATTGTCCCTGGTTTGCCCCTTCCCCCTCTTTGAGTGGAGCGAGTTGAGAAAAGAGCTGGTGATTGGAAGCCAGGCAGGGGAACTAGACTAAGCTAGAGGTTATGTCCACTTGCACAAACAAGACTTGGAGATGAGGAGGAAGGAACGGCGGAGGGAGGTAACCCATCAGCATCAGGAGAGGGTTTTGGAGGTTTAATGGTGGGAGGCTCCAGAGTAGCTGCAGAGTGAATTAGAGGAGGGAGGGGAGTGTGAGATGTCATGCTGTGGGTTATAAATTGATATTTTTGTGAGATACGTATAAAGACTGGAATCTCTTTTAAGGGATTTTTATTGCTGGATTATGTTTATTTGTATGTGACTCTGTAAAATTTGTGGAGCCTTGGCTTTTTTAAAATTAGGATTACGTATAAAGTTTACTGAGTATGAATTATCAGTATATCTTTATGTATCTTTGTTAAATCTTTAGTTATTTGGAAATGTGTCTACGGCCTGTTTAATGGTGAATGTTGTGATGAATTCGAATGGTTACTATTCTTACACAAATTATTTGATACAACAGGTCATTCAGTTTCTTAAACTATTAAATTGATGTAAGTAGAAATCTTCCTTATATTCGAAATATGAACCTTTCTACTTATTAATCACCTATATTTACCAGTGATACTATTTTAATGGATAATTTGTAATAGATAATTATATGCCCTTTTTTCCTGTATTTAAGAAAACTTAAATAGCTTCATTCATTTTTCTAATACGTAGAGAAAATAATTTTTTATTCTTTAATTAAAAAGCCACTTTCTTAATATACATATTTCTATTCTAAGACTCTATTTTCATGTAATTATAACACACAATAGAAAAATATGAATTGTTTATTTTAAGGGTAACTCCCTCAAATCTGGCTCATTGGGAAAGTTTTATAAAATATCTTCCCATTTCTTCTGAAAAGTTAATATTTAGTTTGTAAGGCTACAAACTAAGTTTGAAGGCTTTTTTACCATTTTAAACTAAGTTTGTAGGCCTTCTTACCATTTTACAGATGAAGAAATTAAACCTTAGAGAGAATAAGGCTGTTGCTCAAAGGTTATGTAGCTAATAAGTGACAGAGCCAAGTTTTCAGTCCAGATCTGTTTATAAATCCCATGTTTTTTTCCATTAATAGATCCTTAATAAGATTTGAGGACTGTTCAGATGTGAAGGGAGAGGGAATTCTAGGAAACCCTGAGGACAGGGTAGACAACAAGAAGCCCTAAGTGGGACAATTGCACCAGAATCCACTTTATGTGTCACTATTTCTAGCTTACGTTGAAATGCTAGAGAGTTAGCCCTTTCTTAAAGGTTAGCATTTTTACTGAATTATCTCTTGTAAAGTTCCTTAAAAACTTAGGACGTAACTTGATTGGTGCATTCACACATCAAACAATGCTGTTATTTAGGAATATGATGGTAATGCGCTGTATTGAACCTAAGTCTAACCATAAAGCGTGTTTAAGATAGAAATAAATTGATACTTATCCATCAAAGAGAATCATCTGGATATGGGATTCAAAACATAGTATAAAGGATTTGGAGCCCACATTTTATGAAAAGATTTTAAGTAAAGACTTTCTCTTAAACGAACTTTTCTCCTGGCCCAGACAAGCAACATTCCAGGGCACTGAGAGAGCTTGGGGATGAGCTCACTAAACAAACTCCTCTCAGTGATCTGTAAAGAATCATGGTCAATGGAGGGTGTTCCAGAAGTCTGATATTAAAATCATAAATTTCTCCGAATAGGAGAATTTTTTTATTACAATTTTTTTAAATTTTTTATTACAAAAATTTTCAACTGGGTACAAAAGTAGAAAGTCTTAATAACCATCAATATTTTACTGTGTGTTTCCTCTATCTCCCTGACACCTCCTCCCCTTTTTTTGGCTGGAGTACTTTATTTCAGGTAGGAGGGCTCGTTTCAACATTTCTTGTGGGGCAGGTCTAGTGGTGATGAACATCCTCAGCTTTTGTTTGTCTGAGGAAGCCTTTATTTCTCCACAGTGACTAACTTAATGGCAGGTTGCCAATAAAGGTTAATCCGCTGAATGTTGAATCACTCTTTTATAGAATGAACCATATCTTCCTTCTGATTTATAGTTTGGATCATATAGTCTAGACTATAATTAACTGTATGGGTGTGGAGAAGGCGCAAAGTCACATATGCATGCTTATTCAAATAATCACAGTATATAAGATCTCTTTCAAATTTAATGAAAGCTGAAATATAAGGGCAATTATCTCACCCACCAGTCAGCTACAGGAAACATTACACTGAAAATGGTTAGAAGAAAGATCTTGTGAGAGAATATCTCAATTTAAGAAAACAGATTATATTATGTAAGGGGGGAAATGACTTTTGTTGTTACTGAGTTGTTACAAAGAAAGTCAGTCAGTACTTGAAAAAGTTTCGTAAAATGCTGTTCAACAAACAATCCCTGATCTCAGGAACCTTATCCATAAGTCGAATAGGATAAATGAGATAAATATTGATTCTTTACCAAACCTAAGGATGTCAATGTTACTGAGATTTGAAACTTGATAGGCTCAATTTATGAAGCACATCTTTATACAGTAGACAACAGACCATCAAAAGTCAATATCCTGAAGGATAGTCAGGTTGAAATGATATATGTGAATTATGGATGAAAGTTAGGAATTTCCCTATATATCCCAATGTACTCCTAACTTTAAGAAGTTGTCATCTCAGAGAATGACATTTCCACTCTTGGGAACAAACTACTAGGATGGAATAAGTATTCTGACCCAGGGGGGTATTTTTTAAAATAATCTCCTGGTTTTCAAGAATAGTCAGTGCATCACAGATGGTTCCAATAAGCTTCACCAAATGAAAGGAAAAAGAGGAGTACTTATACACAAAAGTTGGAGTTGAAACTTCATATAGACAGTCTCAGTTTGGAAATTGAATTAAGAAATGAGAAAACATTGGCTAGAGATCATACAACTTTTTGCATAAGCCAAAGTTTGTGTCTCATTAGGGTCCTCTAGTTTTAAGAATTTTTGTCAGAGTTTGAAATTCATTAAATTCATTGTATGCTTACTTTGTGAAAAACAGTATGCTAGGCGCTCTTTGGAGATTGGGGTGAGGATGGGGGGAGGTAAAAATAAATAAGACATAGACACCATGTGGAGATGAGGGTAGAGAAGGAGAGAAGGTGACAGGATAAGTAAAACATATCCCCAGCAATTAAATGATTTGTAATAAGGTGAAGAAAACAGATTTATAACAGTTTATTGTGATGTGACATAATACAGAAAGAAAAAAGTACTAAAGTGGAATCACAGACAAGCTGTTGTAGGAATATGAAGGAGGGAGAGAATAACTCTGAATGGTGGGTGATTAGGAAAGAATTCAAGGAGTAGGTGGCATTTGAGCAAAACGTGGAAAGATGAGAGAATCTTAGAGGTAGAAACATAAGGAGAGGGTGTTGTAGGTTGAGAGAATGACATACTCCAAGGAATTGGGGAATATGATGGAGATGAATTTGAAAAGTTAAGTTTAGGGCAAGATTATGCAAGTCCATAAATACCTTACTAATAAATCTAGATTTTAGTTGTCTGTCCCTTAGGTCCTTTCTCTAGGCCAACAGTCTTTATTTTATATATGTTTAGGTACTCTATCAGTGAATGACAGTGTTTTTCTCCTTCACATTTCGGAAAGTATCCCCTCTTTATAACATCTTCAATAATACCCCACCTTATAACTCCTCCATGTGTGTCAGTAGACTGATTTTCAAATTCTTCTTCTAAGAGAAATTAACATTTTTTAGATTCTGCAAAGAATCATGCCTATCTGAATATATTAGCATTTAATGTTAATTTGAGTTTTTCAGGGACTATTCAAATGATATTTGTGAATGTTATTCAGCATAAAAACAGGACAAAAATGAATAAATACACCCTGGTTTATTGAGTTCTGTCACGTATCTTTCTTTGCTCTTTCCCTGACGTATTTATAAATTTGATATTAAAAGTAGCCTATTTCATAAGTTGTGGGAAAGAGATTTTATTCTTGAATCTGAATTTCCTGTAAATATTTTTTTATTATTCTTGAATCCTCAAGTTCCCTCACCCCAGATTTACTCCCCACCCTATCCCAGCTACAGCATCAGCAAGTCCTGTTGACTCTCCTCCACACAATATCCATGCCCTGCCCACAGTCCTCTGTCCTACCACTACCACCCCAGTGCGAGCTGCTGTCATCTCTAGCTCAGCCTCTGCTCCTCCTCCTACCTGGCCTCCAGGCTTCCGCTCAAGCTCCTAGCTCCCATTCGTCCCTGCTTTGCGGTGGATTCTCCACAGGTACCCACTTTTCAAAGCATACGATTAGGCTCTGTTATTTCTTCCTTTAACCTCTCCAAAGGCTTCCTACCACACGTAAAATAAAAACCAAGCTCCTTACCTTGGCTCGCAAAGCTGTATATTATCTGGCCCCTGCCCTCCTCTCGGCTCTGGCCTCATTCACACCATTCACTCCTCTTCCCCCTACATTCCAACCACACTGGCCTTAATTCTCCTCTTCTAACTCCCCAAGCTGGTTCTTGCCTTGGAGCCTTTGCATGGTTAGTTCTCTTTGCCTGGAAAACTTTGCCCTTTCCTGAGCACTCAGTCTAAAGTGGAGTAAAGTAAATTAAGTAGTCATACTCTATAATGTACCTATTTTATTGTCTTCAGTTCCATAGCACTTCTCAGTATATGAAGTTATCTTTTCATTGTTCCTCCCCACCAGACACACCCTCACTAAAATATGAATGCTGGGAAGGCAGCGACCTTGTCATGCTTAGTGCTGTGAACCCAGCCTCTGGAGTAGTGCCAGGCACATCGATAGATGTTCTGTGGATATTGAATAAATGGTGTTTGGATCAACTGTGACAAATGGTATCTATGCTTCCATTAACAGCAGTATTGAAATTGTTCTTTTAAAACCATTAATATTATTTTGTTAATAGGATAACAGAGTTCTCTATTTCTCTCTTGCTTATGCTTTAGATATGAAGCCCCACAGATTGCCTTACGCTGTGGAATTATGCTGAGAGAATGTATTCGACATGAACCACTTGCCAAAATTGTCCTCTTTTCTGATCAATTCAGAGATTTCTTTAAGTATGTGGAGTTGTCAACATTTGATATTGCTTCAGACGCCTTTGCTACTTTTAAGGTAATGCTTCTTTTTTTCTGAATCAGCTAAGTCATTTACTTTCAGCATTTAAAGTCATTTGGCCTCTGAAGAGCCAACTTAACTTTAAAAAGCAGAAAATTCTGTTCTTTAGGTCTGAGCAAGGCCAACTGTATATGATATAGATCATAAAGAGGATTCAGTAAATGAATGCAATCTGTTAGGCCAACCTGTCACATGTGGAAAAAAACAGCTCAAAATACTTGTCACAAACTCATATGAAATGAATGCCAGTATTTAAGTGAAAATGAACATGTAGTCCTGTGTGTATGGCATGTTTTCATTTATGGTAAAAACAAAGAGTATAAGCTGCTGCTCAAGGTGCATTTGCACTAAATACCTGTGGAAGGCTATCTGGGAAGCAGTGACAGTAGTTACCTCCAGGGAAAGGAACTGGGCAGTGAAGGGAGATAGAGAATTACATCTTTGACCATGAAAGATATTACATGATTTTATCAGTGTAATTTTAAATTCCCACAAGGTAAAATCTATGCTAATAATTATATTGTTATTATATTGTTATTTTTTCATAGTTATGTGTATATTTGTAAACTTATTACCTATTTTGTTATTATATAGGAAATAAATTCAATAATTAAAAAAATTTTTTTAAATATTAGTTGTGGTAAAATACACATAAAATTTACCATCTTGACCATTTTTTAGTGTAAAGTTCAGTAGTGTTAAACTATATTCATATTGTTATGCAATCAATCTTCAGAACTTTTTCATCTTGTAAAACTGAAACTCATATCTTTACACTCATTAACCAACTCTCCATTTCCCCCTTCCTCCAGCTCCTAGCAACCACCATGCTACTTTCTGTTTCTGTGAGTTTGACCATTAAAAAGAAGTTTAGAGAGGGGCCGGCCTGGTGGCGCAGCAGTTAAGGGCAAGTTCCTCTTTGGTGGCCCGGGGTTCGCCAGTTCAGATCCCGGGTGTGGACATGGCACCGCTTGTCAAGCCATGCTGTGGCAGGCGTCCCACATATAACATAGAGGAGGATGGGCACGGATGTGAGCTCAGGGCCAGTCTTCCTCAGCAAAAAGAGGGAGATTGGCAGCAGATGTTAGCTCAGGGCTAATCTTCCTCAAAAAAAATAAGTTTAGAGAGCATATTAGAAATAGCATAACTAACTTATATCTAAAATACTAGAATTTATATATCCAGTGAGTGATGACACCCTTCAGAGTTTCTATGTCAGAAAACCATTTATTTATTCTTATGATCCTGCCATTATTTAATTTTTGAAATTGGTATCAATGTCTGTGGCATGTTCATTTTTCAATAACGGCAAGTCTCTATCCTTTGAGGGCAGATAAAAGTTTTGGAAACAGCAAAAAGCTATTTGACATCCAGGTTAGTGGATAAAGTGGGTGATCAAGTTAGCTAGAACTGTTTTTATTTTTTATAATAATAATAAAAATGAATTTTAAAATGACTAAAATAGTCTGATTTTCTTCAATGTCTACCAGATCGGCTCCGAAGGTGATTTTAGAAGAGGAATTCCAAAAATATTTTGAGCTGATGATATAATAGCATCATTGAAAAAAATAGGTTTTCAAGTAGATTATAAAATAGGCAAGACATTTAAGTGTATATATTCAAATTTGTTTCTTTAAAAGCGTTTCAGCAATATACTTGTTCCATTACATAATTCCAAATTTACTTCCTTCCTTCAGAATATAAATATATATTTTTACTTAATTATAACCTATGTATGACTTTTTGTTTTTTGTATATCTTAAATACATATTTCAACAATATTGACATAGTTCGTATACTAATATTAATATGTACTTTAATCTTAGTACTTTTTGTACACGGTTTGAAAGTTGCCTGTGACCTGGATGTTAAGTAGTTCTTTTTATTAGCTCTCTAGCAGTGGAGAAAGGTGAAAGCAGTGGTTTGCTGTGCTGAAAACTACGTATTATCTATAGACTGGGAATTTACTTAGCCTGTTCTGAGAAGGTTCCTTAAGTCTATTAAAAGTTGTATTAGTGGGGCTGTGGCCAAGTGGTTAAGTTCGCAGGCTGTGCCTCAGTGGCCCCGGGTTCTTTGTTTCGGATCCCAGCATAGACATGCGCACTGCTTATCAAGCCATGCCGAGGCAGCGTCCTACGTACAAAGTAGAGGAAGATGGGCACGGATGTTAGGTCAGGGCCAGTCTTCCTCAGCAAAAAGAGGAGAATTGGCATCAGATGTTAGCTCAAGGCTAATCTTCCTCAAAAAAAATAAAAGGTGTTTTAGCTCACATGGTGGCAGGAAGTGTGTGTCAGGGAGCAGAAAGGGCAGAGACTGGAGTGGATTGGGAGGAAGGGGGGCCTCAGGAGAAGAAGAAAACCTGGCCAAGGAAAAGAGATACCCCAGGGTCCAAGTGGAGGCGACGCCTGCAGGCGGGGCAGTGAGAGGGGCTTGCTGCGCCCAAGCAAACGGTACACTGGTGAGTGGACTCCGCCCTGAAGGCAGCCTGGTTAAGGGTCGGCAAGGCTGGGTGGCTGCCTGAGACACAGCCTATAAAGGGAACCAGGGAACCTCCAGAAATAAAATGAAATGGGCAAAATTGTATTGACGAGAACTCCTGTCTGGGAGAATCTTATTTGAGGATGACAGGTAACTGTGGCACCTATGTCTTAACAAATGGTCTATGCAGGTCTGGGAGCAGGGCTGAGCTGCCCGAGGCAGTAGAGGAAAGGAGCTACAGTGCCATCGCTCCCTAAGAGCCTCAGCCAGGCCTCAAATACATACAGAACCCATCTAGAATCTTGGGTGGAAGGGGGGATGGTCGCCAGGCTGCTCAGGTTTTCCGTCTCCATTCAGTCCTGCCTGCCCCCTAGATTCTCCCTGAGGAAACCGGGAGGAGAGGAGGAGCCCATGCCTGGAAGTCTGGCATAGACTGAAAAGGGCAAGGGAGAGAGAGACGGGAAGAAGGGGGAAGAGGGGAGTATGAAGAAGACAGAGACGCAGAGTAAGGAAGAAGAAAACTGGCAAGGACAGCAAAGAGTGAAGGGAAGGAAGGAAAAGAGAGAGGCAAGAGCTGGGGACAGACTCTAAGGCGAGTTGACTGGTGGGTTGAGGGAGGGGGAGGGAGGGCAGCAAGCATGGACTTGTGCTCAGAGTGCTGTGAAAGCGACCCAGGAGCCTCTTCCATGTCACAGGCGACAAGTCTCACCTGGCAAACCCAAATTATACAGTGGCTACAGATGAACCCCACAAAAGAGCTTATCTAGCGCACATCAGAGAGGCCTTAGGGCGTCAAACGTAAGGAGTGAGATATGAGACAAAGGATGATTCCGTTGCTTTCCAGCAAAATGCCTGTGTCCAAAGAACTAAGGTGTTTTCTACTAATAGATGCTGTAGTCTCATTTTTCCCCCTTTTCTATCACATGACTCTTTGCTGTCATGGAAACAAGTTAATCCCTTTCTTGAAAGAACATAAGTAAGCATTCACAAATAATTATAAACGTAGAACAAACTCTAATGGAGGGAAAAAGCAGATACAAATGAATATGTATTTTTGAAAATATCCTCAAAGATTTTTCAACATTTAATAAACTATACTTGATAATAATATCTTGCTATCATATATTCAGCTCAATTTAATTTTCAGTACAATATTGAATCACAAAAATAAATTATGTTCTGATTGTACTTCAGTGTATCTTCCATTGAACTTAGGTCTTGAAAATCTAAATAAGCATAAAAAGTTTTCTAGTATGCTAACAATATTGGAAATGCCAATCTTCTATATTTTTCCAAAATACTAGGTTGATATAATGTAACAACGACCATAAGTCACTATTTTTTTAAGTAGCTGTTTCAAGGGGTTTTGTTTGTCAGTTGATTGGTTTGCTTTGCTTTGCTTTTAGTTTGGTTTTATTTTGGTTTTGGATTTTGTTTTTAACCTCTTAGACTTATATTTTGAGCTCCAAGATGACTGTTGTCCAGTTTAATCATTAATGTTTTAACATTATTAGTTTATGTTTTTATCATGGTATTGTCTACAAATTGTCCTTTCCCAGAAAGATTCCATACCACTACGATCTCTTTCATCTCTCCCTCCGAGAATCAACATGGTAGAAGTGGTTGCTTCTATACTTAGACTGCAAAACTTAGTTCTGTCAAAACAGAATTGTTAGGAGGTAGGATGAAAGAGTACACTATTTCAAATAATTCTTTAAATTTTAAATTCTTTAAAATTTGAACTTTATTTTTCTTTGTAGTTCTCTGCTTTTTCTTTTTTGGGTAGGATCCTAGCTAGTTGTTTTTTTTTCCACTCAGTTAGATGATCTATAATGATGCAGCAGTTATATTTGTGTATGTATTATGTGTATATATGCATGTTTGTATGTGTGTATATATATGTGTGTGTGTGTATATATATAGTATAGTCCCTCTAGTTTTGTGCATACATTTATTATGGACATCAATTTGAGTGTATATCTGTGAAGCTATAATATATACATACTCAAGTGTTGGAGTGTGTGTGTGTGAGAGAGAGAGCAAATCATTTGTTGGCTGTATGCGTCGTATACGTGAGCTGGAGGAACGCTACCCTACCATATTTTATTTTTCTATTGTTGGATTTTTAAGTTATTTCAAGTTTTTTTCCCTTGGAATTTGAATGAGCTGCTGCTAACAGAACTCCCTCCTAATTCCTGTTTCTTTGGTGTAACACTAAGTATAGTGAATGGAAAACCTTTTGAGGCAGCACTCTTCTGCAAAATGCTTTCTGTTGCCACCGTCACTGTGTGTGCAGGCCCTGCAGCTGTGGGAGAGCGTAGGCTTCACACTCGGGGCTGACACTGGTTATAACAGGTGGGGAACTCCCACGGGAGCAGCAATCCAGTCTCTGCTACAGGCCTTGGAGAGAACCGCTTTCTAACCTGGGTCAACTCAGGTTAACCACTCAGATCACTGACACTGCTCAGGAGATTAGGGAAAGGGATGTCTGAAAACTAGGCATCCCAAATATCCACTTAGAAAAAGACTAGGGACCCCAAAGGATGCTGTGGAACTACCTTACTCTCTCAGGGTCCCCTGATAGAGGAACTAGTTTGAATTTTGACTTTGGACAGGCTGAGAATGAATTCCTATAGAAGGTTTCCCCATTTTAAAATTCCAGTTCCAGAACAGTACTGAATGTCTTGCTGGAAAAAAAGTACCATATTTCCACTGATAGGCCCAAAGTTGTGACAATAAGTAATATGAAATGAAATTAATAGCTAGTGTCCTTATTTTTGAACTTGAAAATTACAGTGCAAAATGCTTTAAATATTTTACTTTTTATTAAAAATAGAAATAGGTGGGTTTTATTGTTACTGCTACCTTCTTTTTCTCTTGTTGTGTATCTTCTGTATGCTTTTAGGAAGTTTTAATTAAATATGTATTAAAGTATAAGAATTTATTTTGGTAAACCTTAAAATTCTTGTTTTTAATTAAATTCTGATGGTACCTAGACAGGGATTTTAGCCTCTAACCATATAAAAGGGATTAGGTGAGGCTTGTTTTCTTTCAACATTAGGGTGAATTAAGGATATAATTTAGGTGTGAGTTGAAGACAGTCAAATGTTCCTTTATGCTTTTGTTCAGTTTTCTGAGAGTTATGTCTGTAATAAGATCTGGCTACTTGTCTTCAGCTTTGAAAGGCTGCATTGTGCTACTTAGTAACTGCACAGCATCTCACAGCCCATTAGCCTGGGAGCCGGATGATCCTGAGATGGCACTGTTAAATGTCATTCTTGTGCTTCCCAGCGTTCTAGCCACTTCTGTTTTAAAAGTGGTTAAGAAAAAAAGTAAAGGTTAAACTCCTTGAAAATCTGTTAAGTTAACTTGTGAGATATGGTTTTAGGCCATTCAGAATTCTTTTTTTAAAGTATGATTAGTTCTTAATGACCTTTTTAAAAGATCATCGTAAACTGTATTTGAATATTTTTTATATCATAATCACAATGCAGAATTATGGCTTGAAGAAATATACTGTAAAGTCGTCTCAGGTGCCATTTGTTTCACTAGTTAAATTATTTCTATCATAAATCTAACAATAATATGAATTTAAAATACTCGATTATTTTTAACTTGAAACAAATGTGTTTCACATCTTAAACTAAAGAATGGAAATAATTTTGTGGTGTACACCAAAATATTCTTCTGAAACTTTATATAACAGTTTCAAATTAATGGACTGAAAGAGTTGTAAATTTATTGGCTATAATAATTTTGTTTCACTTGGCTGTTCTTTTTCTAGGATTTACTAACCAGACATAAAGTGTTGGTAGCAGACTTCTTAGAACAAAATTATGACACTGTAAGTAGAAGTCATTTTTAAGACTTTACCTGATTCTCTCTTCCTCTTACTCTGTCCCTCCCTCTTAGATCTATGAGTGCTTACTCCTATTTATGATCCACAATAGAAACCAACCCTACACCCAATTTGTCTATCACCTGGAAGCCAGGTCATTGGGAAACTTCATGGAAAATGGAGGATGGCAGGAGGGCAGGGCTTTCGCATTTTTTCACATCTCTTCCAGTTGTGCTCCAGAGCTCCAAGAAATGACTCACACTTGCTTACTTTGATCTTGACCTAGGAGCATCCACGTTGCCCTTAGGAGGCAGTAGGTAACGCCAAATAGAAGAACACTCCACCCTTACAAAAATAATTTTACTTGGTCAGTAATTAGTTTTAGTTACAAGGCAAAATACCAAAGTATTTCTGTCTTTCACTGTCCTTTTCTCATACTGAATCCAACTCATCCTTTTGAGATTTGGCTGAAATGTCACTCTTCTAGGAAGCTTTCCCTAATCCTACCCCTCCCCAAACACACACAAGCACATACACACACTCTCTCTCTCTCTCTCATTTTTCACACTGTATTATTATGTTATTATGGGGTTTCTCTATCTTCCTGGCTGGCTCCCTGAGAGGCAGGAACCCTACCTATTGAACCCAGGGGTTCAGTGTACAATACAGACTTCAGAATCCACTTGCTTGGCTTCAAGACTCAGCTCTGCCTCTTACTAATTGTGTGATCCTGGGCAAGTTACTGCGCTGGCTGCAAAATGAAGATATTAATAATACCTACCTCATAGGGTTACTGTGGGAATTTAGCAAGATTGAAAGTTTTTAGGATGGTACCATGGTAAGCGCTCAGTATTAATTTTTATGATTATTACTGTATCCATAATACCTCACTCACCACCATACATTTGGTGGTGTTCAGTGAACGTTGAATGAACAGATCCATCCAAAAGCAACTGTGCTTCGTAAGCAATAGCAGAGCATGATTAAGTAGAACATAACACAAACCTAGAAGCAAGTTCTGTTCCAGCATTGGTTCTGATGCTCTAGACCGGTGCTGTCCAGTTAAAATATGATGCAAGCCATTATGGAATTTAAAATTTTCTAGTTAGCCACACAAAAAGATTAAAATAAACATGAAATTAATTTTAATAACATAGTTATTTAATTCTGTATATCAAAATATTATTTTCATGTACTATCAATATAAAAAATGATTGAGCTATTTTACATTTTTTTTTATATGAGTCTTCGAAATCTGGTATATATTTTACACTTACAGCACCTCTCAATTCAGACTAACCATATTTCAATGCTCATTAGTCACAGTGCCCTGTATTGGGCAGCGTAGCACACCTCTAGACTGTGACTCTGAGGGGGAGACTCTCTTACCATCTTCATCACCCTCATCATCATCATTATCCTACGGGTGGTAGCAGCAACAGCAGAAGTTATTTTTTACTGACATTTTATGGATTTTATATGTTTGTTAATCTTATTCATCTTTGTATCCTCATTACCCAGCACAGTGCCTGACACATAACAGCAGCAATGTAACCTGCCACTTTAATCTGTAGTCAGCAATGTAACCTCTCTCTGTCTCTCTCTCTATACACACACACACACACACACACACGCAACGATTAGTGGATTTTTTTGTGTCATCCATTAAAAGCAAAAGAAAATTACATGTGTATATAGTATTTATGATAGTAATGAGTAAATTAAAGTATCTTTATTGGTTGAAAACTTTTGGTATTGAATTAAGTGATATGTGCTTACACAGAGAAATGTATTTTTGATGATGACTTTATGCCTTCCCAACAGTATTCAAGCAGACAGTTGGCACATAATAGACATATGATCAGTGACGGCCTACAAATACTAATAATAGCCCGCAACAAGTCTCTGAACCATTTCTACCCTAGACACAACTTGCAATATACCTGGACTCTGGGAAGACGTGGAATACCCTACCTGTCAGTGTCCTTTATCTTCACACATCCAAATCACAGAAATTTAACTATGTCTGTCTTATTCTTAAATTGTTTGCTGGTCTTCCTTTAAGAATTAACAATATAATCATGAAATCAAAAGTGATTTTCATATCCTAACATTATCAAGAAAATATCTGTGGGATCAATTGGAGTACTTTGATCTAAGTAAAACCTGAAGAGAGGATAATTTTTATTGCCAGAGACATACAAAATCTTCAAAACTAAAAGAAAATGGGATATTTTTTAATTTAGGAAACGAACTGCTATTATAGTTTGTTCAGTAACTATGTATGTTAGATGGAATGTTAAAAAAATACTCATTAGGTGTTACATTTCTAATAAATGAAAATAAAAGAAGGTTTAGATAGCTTATGACAAAATCTGTAGTATCAACCACTAATCTTTACTATAGAATGAGAGGTAAATATGTTGTGCAGTAATGCTTTGCATTTAGGGGTCAATACACAACAATTTGAGAGACCATGGACCCATTCTCTTTGACCCCTTATTTACCTAATTTTTTCTATCTTTGTATCTATAGTCACTTCTTATGTAATGTAATGGTTTCACAGACACAGAGTCTGCAGCACTGACTGAACACTACATCTGAGAACTCACACTCCCTCTAAGATTTCATACTTCCTGAGTTTCATATTTCTTTAGCAGAAAACCATGAAACTGGAGCATAAGATATGACTCTAAAATAATCAAATTGGTAGCTTGGGGGGTCAGTCATACCTTATACATGTATTTGCATTTTACAGTTGCATTTAAAACTTATCACAGGGGCTGGCCTGGTTGCCCACGCTCTGCTTCAGTGGCCTGGGGTTCACTGGTTCGGATCCTGGTGCAGACCTATGCACCACTTAAGCTGTGCTGTGGAAGACATCTCACATATAAAGGAGAGGAAGATGGGCACAGAGGTTAGCTCGGGGCCAGTCTTCCTCAGCAAAAAGAAGAGGATTGGCAGCAGATGTTAGCTCAGGGCTAATCTTCCTCTAAATAAATAAATAAAACATTGCAAAGTTTGTCTGATAAATTTAATAACCCATAAAATCTTCCTTGTGTTTCATGACAATTAGGATAAATAGTAAGTCCGTTAGATAAAAGAGTATAATTACCGTGACTTTAATGTGAGCTACATGTTTCGGTTTTTATTTTTCACTTTTTAATTCTCTATTGGTAATTATCACCAGTGTGCACAGCATGCCTTCACCACACACGTGCACACACATGCACGCACACACCTTGCACTCAGCCCTCTGAGGACCAGGACTGTTTTCCACTCTCCCCAGCCCCTGAACTCTTGCCTTCAGTTCTCTGCTGAGCTTGCTCCTCCCGTCTTAGTGATCTCTGAGGGTGGCATATGTGGTGGGAGGTTGAAGCGGAGCTTCCCCAGCTGCTGGCACTCTGTGTTAAACTGAAGGGCTAAGGTAGTGACTGACGACTACCTTGGGAAACAGCAGTGTCCCCCAGCTTCTGGGGAGAGTGGAAGTGCACGAGAGAGGCCAGTTGGTATCAGCATGGCTGTCATGCGGCATCATGCCCATTCCTCTACCTGTTCATGCTATGACTTTGATTCTTTATGGGTTACCAAGTGAAGCTCTAAGTGTATTTAATCTTTTTCCAAATTATTCATGGACTAATAGCTACCAGCAAGGCTACATAAACAGATTTCTTTAAAATGGCATAAAATGAGTTAACTTGCTCATTTAATAGACGAATTAATGGATGTTTGATTCAAAATGACTTATTCGGAGGACTCGGTTACTCCATTTTTCTACTCTATTTTTAATTTGCAGAACTAAAATAAAACAGATATGTCTCTTGTGTCACTTGACCTTCCTATGCTCCAGTGTCTTTGTGTATAAATGAGGATAGTAAAATGGAGAAACCTCCCTCTGCTCAGCAGTGATCAGCTAGGGTTGAGCACGTCGAGGGACAAAGCACAGCAGCTGGGCTGCACTGGGCTGGCCGGGAGGGTGAGGGGTTTGCTTCTGAGGCAAAAGAGCAAGCAAACCCAATGCAGAGAAATCACTGCTGGTTTTACACTCTAATATTTATTTTCTTTTCGTTAGATTTTTGAAGACTATGAGAAATTGCTTCTGTCTGAGAATTATGTGACTAAGAGACAATCTTTAAAGGTAATAAATTTCTTTAAGTTAGAGTCTTCAAAGTTGATATCTTGTTAGTAAATGATTGGTCTATTAGTGAGCAAGTAAATGCAGAAAAATTAAGTATCCTTTTTTTTGGAACTTGAGAACTATGTTTTATGTTATGACTATACTTTCTGGCAAAACAATGTAAGTATGATGCCTCAAATACTTTTTGAAAGTAACAACATAAATAAGTACACGATTTGGGGGCGGGGGCAGGGTGAGTAGGGATGTGTGTAACCAAATGACATTTGCGACTTGAGGTTATATCTCTCATGCAACCCTGGTGGAAATGCCGCTCTCCCTCATCAAACAGGGAGCCCTGCAGAGTAGGGCCACATCCGTCTGTGAGTGGCTTTCTCTCCCTCCATGAAAACAGCCATTTGATCAAGAGGAGGTGGGACAGCTCGTGGGGGAGTGGGACATCAGCTAGAGCCGCATCTCCACCTTTCAGATGCCACTCAAATATTCAAGAGTGTTGTTGGAGATAATAATTGGCTGTTTTTTGTCAAGCAAGTTGTATGATGTTTTAACTTACTACATACCACTCGTATTATTTTTACACGTTGGGATGATGACATTCATAGAACAATGCATTTGTTTCTAAATATTGAACACAGTTTTAAGCTAAAGCAATAAGTTAAATCTATTTTGTACCATGTTTTTGTCAATTTACTTTACCTGTGATTTTGTGATGGCCATGACCTGCTTTCTTCTGTATCTGTGCCCTCACTGCTACAGCTTTACCCATTGATGGAAAGGTCAATGTACTATTTCCATCCAGTCATTCAGCACTTTTTGTTGAGTTTCCCCTTGTGTAGAAACCCTTACAAGGTGATCCATGTAGAAAACAATACCATTGGTAGGCTGCTCTCCATGCTGGAGTCTGGAGTGATGAGACCGAGCTCCAGACAAAGGTAGTACGTCAGTACCGTGCTCTGCGTGTCCAGAAAGCTTATTAAAAGCAGTTGAAGATAAAGATACATCCTGTTGCCAGACCCATGTACCTAAAGAATAGAATTCCTTATTTGCAAAGAGCTCCACAAGGACAGCCAAAACCGGGGAGCTTGTCCATGTTACAAGAGATGGTCACCCTGGGAGGGAAGTGGAAATTGGAACAGTAAACGGAGGTGACAGTGCTCTGAAGGGCCAACATATAGGAAATCGCACATAAATTTTCCAAATCCTTTCTCTTTTCAGTGGGAATCTGTCAGATACTGGACCAAAGTAGAGAGGTTGGTATGAATTAAGGTGACTGAACCAAATTGGGATGAAAAAAGCTGAGGGTCATGGACTTTAGTATTTATCCTTGTACCATTTTCAGCAGTGACAAGAAGTTGTTACCGAAATTCTTTTGTGATCAGCTGTCTCTAGGGCCTTAGGCACAGTTATCCAAACATCTCACTTCTGGGCCCTCGTCCGGCTTTTTCTGCCTTGTTATCCTATCATCCCCTCCTACCCATGTGTGCCCATTGCCCTCGTTCTCTTCTCAGGATGTCTTCAGTTCTACCTTGTCCTGACCCCTTGTTAATATTTGTAAAGTGATTAGAGCAGAGCCTAGCACATGGTAAGACCTAGATATGTTTGCTAAACAGAATAAAAATAAATTTTATCAGTAAATATTCCTCATCATTATTGCTAGAGTTCAATCTCTGGAAGGTATTGATCTATTCTAAATAAATAATTGAGACTAGGATATGAATTAGACTTTTTCCCACCAGGATGCATTTGAATTTAAAAATAGAAACCTGTTAATTCAGTGGATGTAGGATTAGTTCAATATGATACAAATTTTGGTGGCTAGCAAGGGGGAATTAGAGGGAATCATTTTTCACGGCCATCTGCTGCCACCTGGTCTCCGCCTTCCAGCCTCCCTTCCCCTTTTCATGTGGTTCTCCAGCTAGAGACCTAGACAGTAGTTCCAGTGACACGGGCAAAGAGCGACCAAATTTGTCTCTGGTATTGAAAGTCTCCTTTAAACTCTCCCTTTTCAAACTGATTGTTTCCTACTAGTTTACTGCTGCCCCAGCCCACTCGTGAGGCCTCTTTCCTGTTCTTTATTAATCCACCCAGACATACTACATTGGCTGCTATTCCTGCCTAAAATTCTTTACAGTCGAGTTGTCTCACAAATATTTGATTTACAATATGGTAAAAGCGAGCACTGGTTGGTCAGTGAAGAAAAACTAGTGAAAAGGCAGATAAAGCATATCTAAGAATGTGGAGATCATTAAAATGGTTACTAAGAGTTGGCTTTTTTAAAATTCTAGATTATAGGCAGAGATGTTGCTAAAATGGTCTTGTATCACTCTATTCAAGGACAGAGCTCATTAAATATTGTTTGCTCTTTTCTTCAATAGAAAAACATTGTTTTAGAGAGCTCTGCTGGTGCCCTGTTGGCTTTCCCTTTTGGGAATTAAATCTGTGGGAGCACTATGTTCTGTTTGACATAACCGTGTTTATATCTCTGGGTTCTGCAATATTTTGGATATAGATATTTCATAATTTTAAGAAACAAGAGAAGTTTGATTATTATAATAGTATATTTACTTACAGTATTCTATAAGTAATAAACTCTCTTAAAACTAGGCTATTTTCTGATTCCAAAGTAGTTGCCACTGTCTTTTGTTAATGATATTCTAAATTTTCCTGAACTATCTGGGGGTGCTTAGATTCCTGGTGTCAATAAAAAATAATTAACAGAGAAATTCCTTTCCCTCATGTGACACAGCTTAGGAATTTGTTTCTTATCTACTTCAGAGGCCTGGCATTTAATTACTAGCAAGAAAGATTATAATTCACAAGAAAATTGGTGGAATTTTTGGGTTTTTTGGGGCTGTGGTCAATTTCATTAAAACACTAAGTTTTTTAAAAAGTCTTATTTCTACTTGTGCATCGTTTTACTGTGTACTATGAAGCCTATAAAATAAAATTTAAAGAAGTAAAAATATAAATTTTTTCCATTTACTTAGTACAGTATTGCTTTATAATGCTTTGTATTATAATAAAATCCAGCATTTTGCCATTGTCAGTGTTAATTAAAATAGATTAACACTTAATGTCTAAAGGATTCAGTATTCTTGGCCAAAGATTGAACACAATTGATTGTCTCAGAAAAGTAGTGAAATTATATTAGGAGAGGATAGATTGGATAGAATTTATAGGTAGGCATCCCCATGTAGTAAAAATTGAAGTAACTTAATTTGAATTTAACTCATAAATGTCACCTCAACAAATGGTTATTGAATGTTTGTGTGTGCATATGTGTGCACATTTTTAAGGGTAAAATTTTTAGTGAAATATATTTGTTTCCAAAAGACCTTTTGATGTGTGTATGTGTATATGATATATATGTATGTATATATGATATGTTATATATTTTATATAAATATATCTATATAGAGTCTATATGTATATAGAAGCTATATATAAACATGTGTGTGCGTGTGTATGTCTATCTTTAGAAGCTTCTTGTCAGCGTTACAACCCAGAATTTTCTTTGAGAGAGTCTGGTAGCCATCCAGCTGAAATGTAAACATCTAAGAAGATAGCACTTTTATCTCCCTGTCACTGGAGAATTTAACCTTGGTGCTTCTCTCCAAGCTGTAACCATTTGCTTGTCAGAGAGATAAGAGAAGGTTTATTATTCTCTGTATTAGTTGGATAAAAGCAACTAATTAGCTAAAACAAATTGCTACCTCAATGACCGGGTGAATTTAGGATAAACTGTGAAAGGGTGCACAGCAAATGGTGCTGTCAAGTCCTCTTAGAGGGATAGTCACCTTTCATCTGGAGACTATATGCACGTAGTGGATTGTAGCTGCTTGCTGTATAAATAAGGTGGAATTTATCTGTCTTTATAGTGCATTTCTTACAGGTTGCCTGCAGTGTTGTGCTCTGGATATGCTTATTCAATAATAGAGATGCTTTCTTCCTTGTCTACATTTTGAGGAGAGGATGTTGTGTTGGTAGGACCTTATTTCCCCAGCAGTGTCCACATACGTCACACAGATATGTTGCAAAGGATACAAGCACAAACAAGATTTGATGCATGCACTTGTGGAGCTTACATTCTAAAGGGGCTCACAGTAACTGTACTACAAGGCAAAGTGAGATCAACTAAGAAAAAACAAAGAGCACAGAGGTGACAGAGGAGATTCAGCTCAGGAGAAAAGTCGAACTCTTAGAAACAGAAGGTAGAATGGTGGTATCAGGGGCTACGGAGTAAGGGAAATGGGAGATGTTGGTCAAAGGATATAAACTTTCAGTTATCAAATGAATAAGTTCTGAGGATCTAATGTTACAGCATGGTGACTATAGTTAATAATACTGTATTATATACTTCAAATTTGCTGAGGGTAGATCTTAAGCATTCTCACCACAAAAAAGGGGCGGTAACTATGTGAGGTGATGGATGTGTTAATTAACCTAATTAATGTGTTAATTATCTTGATTGTTGTCATTGCTTGACTTGCAAGTGTATCTTCTTATGTCACATGCCATGCCATTTCTCACATGACAAAATATGTCATTACTGTATTACTTCTCTCTCATTAGTTTATTATTGTTAAACATTCTTGCAATGCTAGTAGTTCTGTTTAATTTTCATGAAACTTCAGCTCTTTACACCTAGGAACATTTTGAAAAGGAATAAACTCCTTTACACATATTCTTTAAAAAAGGAAAAAGGGTGCTAAATATTTCACAATGTTTACATATATCAAATCCTCACAATACACACTTTAAATATATACAGTTTTGTCAATTATACTTCAGTAAAGCTGGGGAGAAGAATTTAAGTAAGGGGCGAAGCCACAGAGGCAGAAGAATGAGGAAGACAAGTGAGGGAGCTGAGGAAAGGAAGCAATAGAAATGACTGCAGATCACAGAGGGCTTCAAATGCCATCCTAAGGAGTTTAATTTTTTTTCCCCTAAATCCATAAGAATCTAGAGATTTGTTTATCCACTCACTGTATAAGTGGAATTAG